CTCATGAGATTGGTAGGAAGCCAGAAACGTCAGTCTTCTCCTTATATAATGTTTGGCATATCTTGAAATATATATATATATATATATATATATATATGAAAAAGTGCATGTACAGATGCCAGACCCCAAGATGGCACTCTTTCATAGTGTAAAGACATTTTTGCCTGTGAGTTAGACAAAGCATGTGCAACTAAATACAACTACAGTATGTATGCATACAAGTACTGTATAAATTGCATACACATGCACACATCCCCAGAGGACCATATGGGTTGAAGGCTGTACATCTGTTGCTGCGTGTCCCCTTTAAGTCAGAGCATACAGAGCGTCAGCTGTCCTTTATGTCCAGTACACAAAGGCCTACACCCATTTGTCATGTATAAAAGTACAGAGTCCCAACTGTGATATGCACACATAAAGTAAGCACGCATATATGGATGTGTGCAGGCTGAGATACACACACATAACACACACCAGTAGCTTTGTATGCCCAGTTGAGTTTTCTCCAGTTTTTCCGTCACAGTTTTATGTACATTACATAAGCGCTTTCACACATCTGTGTTGGTGATTTTATCTGTATGTTACAAGAGGAATGCAGCTGACCAGAAACCTGAATGAGTCCTATGTTCAGTCCATGAAGGCAGCTGGTCATGCCAGTGTTCAGTCAGTTAAAAAGGAAACTTGCGTCGCTCTGCGTGCAGGAGTCAGCACCAGTCTGGTCAGACCAGACTTTCTCAACTCTCAAACTGATGTCCCAACTGAGGAGAAAGATGGATTTCATTGCTATTTGTCTTCAACTGATGCCAGTGTCTGACCTGGCAGCAGTCAAAAGGGAACACATACATGTATTCATTTACATAAAATACTGGGTAGTGAGTAAGGTACTGTAATGTTGTGTTGGAGTGATGTTACAGAGAATTTCATTAATTAAGTCGTGTTTTGTTATTTGTGCAAAGACATTTAAAAAGTAACCAAAATGGCTGACAGGACGATCAAAGATTATTTTTGGTCAGAAAGATATATATATACATTTATATATATATATACACATAGATAAGATAAAGCCCTTAGTGACAGAAGCCCTGTCTGACTGTCCACTTGTTTCTCTCCTTGATGAGGTCTCGGACTGTGATGATCCAGCTTGGCTCAGGTTTGGCTTTTGCTCTCTTTTCATCAGTCTGGCTGCTGTCTGAGCTTGATGTCTTTGGCATAGCAGAAAACAAAGTTTGCATCATTCCTCTCACGCTGCTGCCCAGCAGCAGATGTTCTGGTCAGGATGTTCTGCAGGAATGATTGAGGAGTTCATGATCTTGCAGCAAACTGCCACCAGATGAAGTATTTGCCACATTGACCATGTCATCCTGTCTTTGATTTTGCCTAAAACCAAATTAAAATCCTGATCATAAATTTCTTTTAACAATTACAAAAACATAGTGAAAACCTCATTAAAGATCTCATAATTAAAACACTCAACTTCTCTATAGCGTATATATAAAGGTTAATTCTCTGATGAAAAACTAGATGTAGATTTAAAGGGAACTTAAATGGGAAGTACTACTGCATATGTGAATAAAATTGACTAAAGTTTGATGCATTTCCTCGAGTGATGTCACTTGAGTCAGCGTCCTTTGGGGCTTACAAAGTTTGAAAACGAACCCCGCTCCTCATCTCTGTATAAGGCTAGCGGCTCGAGGCTACATTAGCCCTTACTAGGGTGGGTAATGTAGGCACCAGAGTTTGACAAAGAAGAAGAATGTGTGGAATAATATATATATATACTATGGCTAATTAATATTCTAAATATTTTAGACTTTCGATCATATAGTGCTGTTGACAGCCATTTGACACTGAAACTCTGGAGAACTCCTTCTCCCTGCAGGTTAAGCTTCAGTTCTGAGAAAACAAGTATGTTGTCCCAGCTTTGTTTTCCCTCAGCTGTTCAAGGAAGCTCCTGGTCTCAGGTCTGGTGCCTTGCAGACTGTCATACAGAGCAACTTATGCACATGAGCATACCATCGAATGCAAACATGCAACACAAACATTATCACACTGCCTCAGTTCCCCTGCTACAGTGTCTTACATTCACATGAACTGCCACTGATTCAGAGACGTGAACCAAGGCGATGAAACACCAAAGAAGATCTGACTGACTTTGATATGAATCGTCTGTTTCTCACTTGCAGGACAGCGGTGGTGATCTGATTGTTGTAAAAACCCTTCTGTGTGATGATTTTTAAAATGTCTCTGATAAATCAGATCAGACTAAAGGTTTCATACAAAACAGGAGGAGAGCAGCAGGCAATGAGCTTATCTGTCTTTGTAATAGATACAGATGTTCATATGGGAAGGAAAAAAGAAAGAGGAGCGGGATACAGCTGACACAAAAACATGGAGGACGCTTCAGTTAGACGACTCATAGAAAATAAACAGTTACTGTTCAAAGGTCAGGAATCTGGGTAAATGATGTTGCACAGCACGGGGGTGAGCCTCGGGATCAGTGTGTGTGTGTGTGTGTGTGTGTGTGTGTGTGCATTCCTTCTACATTGACCTCAGCGTGGGTGCTTGCATACACATATTACTGCCTTTGTGCGTGTTTTTGTGTGTGTGTCCAGGTGAAGTGGCTCAGACCCCTTGTGCACCTCACCCCAGCGGCCATGGTCATGTTGATTTAAGCTGTCCGTTCTACATCTGGTCTGGATGGGTGTTTGGTGAAGTTTAGTTTTAGTGGACAACCAGCTGCAGGGACACTGCTACATGCCCTGAATTATCCCCAACATCCTTTCACCCACAAGTCATGTCCTCTAGGCCCCCATCTTCTGTCTCCATTTTCCTCACTTCTGCTATGTGGCACTGCTGTCATCCATGGATACACGGATGCAGGAGTTTTTGTCACATGTATTGTTTGGATGCAGTGACTGCACCCCTCTCACACAGTTGTTTCCAATGTAAATGTTGTATATCAGCTTACTCTATACCTGCACTATACAAACAGTTCTGGCTCCTATTTATGGTTATTTGGTACCCTCTAGTGGACACAAATAAAGATGACACGCAAGCTGCAAGATGTTGTAGACCACTGACAGTATATAAGGTGTAGACAGATGGGTGGGAATGTATTAGTGATGTTGGCAATGTTGAAAGACCTATAGATTTGATATAATGGGGTCACCTGTACTGCCACAAAATCTAACATGACATATTATTGGCTAAAAGTATGTTTGGGTGCAACTGCAAGATAAATATGCATTTTGTCTTAAAGACTGGAATAAAATGGACATAGGAACACAAGGAAACTGCATAATAGGAATTTTTAAGTAGGCTAAAAATTGTTATTGTAAAATGTAATGATATAAGCTATTGTAGATCATGTTAATCACAGACAGCATGTTGCATTCTGCATCTAATCTGTCTGAAACTTATGAATGATAGTTATGATATTGTATATATGTATATAACGCTCACTGATAAGAAAACTGACTGTCATCAAACCCTCAAGATGCTCTACTGACAGCAAACATCAAAGTTTGACTTTCAGATCACAGCCATAGCATTCAGCTACAAACTTAAAGGGGATTTGGACACAATTTTCTGGTTTACACCTGTTGAAAATTTTGTTTCACTCAGTTGATGTAAAGCTCAAATTACCATCCAAGTCTGACGTTGAGTACTTCTTTAGTAATATACATACGAGTCATCATTTGTGCTACATGACACATGAGCTGCAGTGTGTTGAAGGAGTAAAGTATCTGTGGAAAGACAGGATCTCCATTTGTAGAAAAGGAACTTGGGGCCAGTAATAGATAAGGACTGAGGAAGTTAGAGGGAAGAATGAGCTATATCTGGAAATCATAAGCCAGTACTGACATTTGGTGTAGTCATTAGCTATGAGTGTGAAGTACAGAGGTCAAACAGCATTAAGCTCATTTCCTGTTGCAGTTAAACACACAATAAGTAATCCTGGACAACCTTCACATCATGTGCTATTCTTTTATATCACATGCAGCACAGACACTTGCTGAGGTGACCTTTAAGACATGACGTAATTTGTTGGACTTCAACCAGTTTTCCCAAACCTCCCACTAGGTTTGCTATTGCGGGCGCTAGCTTCTTACCTAATTTCTTCAGTCTTCACTGGAGGTCTACAAGACATGTGAAATATATCTTTCCTTCATCAGTGGACTTGAGTAACACTCCCTCTGCTATTTGGCAAAGTTTCAGTGCACCAAAACAGCAGTCTGCGTGCAAGTACTGTTGTTACTGGATCACGTGTCAGACTTACAGCAATATGGTTTCAGTCAGGAGAAACATCATGTTATGTGAAATAATCAGTGACAATACTCCCCATCATTACTATTAACCATGTTTGAAACATACGATACAGTTCCTTCCATTAGAGGTAAGATTATTGTAAGATGTACACCAGGACCTGCTGAATGTGTCGAGTATTGTGACGATTACGTTTCATTGTAACTAATTTTGACTGCTTTATAGGAGTTTTCGAATAACTGCGAATAACATCCACTCCCTAAACATTAATTGTTGCATTAAGGCTATGGGCCGGAATCTCAAATTTGATTGCATCTTTGATATCATCAAACCAATGTTTGCAAACTGCTCCTAAGTTTCAATGGAGCCATGTTTTGCACTCAGTCTGCTCTCAAAAAGACCAAAATGTTAATATTGTGGAAACTGTATTCACAGTCTATTTCAGAGTTAGAGTTGACATGTGTTCCAACTGAAATGTTCAGGTAGCCTCATCAATGACTCCCAACAGCCAGCCAGACTCAGTACCTAAGCAAACAATATTTAGCATTCAACTTACAAAGTGCATTTTTAGAAAGTAAGGAACAGAAGGGTTGAAAATTAGTCACACCAGCTCATATAGTTTTTTTTTTTTTTAGCTCACTGAGCCCCTAAAATTGACAATTCAAAAATCATAACTGGCTATTTAAAAATATGAGTCGGGGAACAATGTTTTGAGTAGCACCACTGCAAAAAGATGAAAAAAAAACTTTTATTGTTGGAGACAATTTACCCTGTGAATTTTACAACTGAGCTTCACAAAACACCAGAAGCTGATATTTCCTGCCACTGAACTGAGCGTGGCAACTAAACAACACTGTCAATGGAAAGACAAGAGAACAAAATGTAACACAAAAAACTAAAAACACATTTGAGTTCCAGAAAACTGAAACACCGTACGTTGAATCTGAGGCTTTTATCAATCAATAGATTGAACACATACACGCTCCAGGGGCTTTTATTACATTATCCAACAATCACACAAACCAAATACTATTTACAAAAATGCACTGATTGAAATGTTTTAAAAAAAAGTCTAACAAGTATGGATAACCAGAATGTGACATGTAGTTTAAAAACCTTTTTTTTTTTCCAGCAGCTCAACATCACCAATCCTCTGTGTCATAACAGAATAACGTCAAAACAGGAGCCTCAAGCTCTGAACAAATTAATTGCAACAATGGCTCATTTGATGAGAATGGAAACATGCTTCAGACACAAACTGGAATACAGAGAAAAGACTAGTGAGGTTAGGTCCATCAGTCCAGATGTCTATAAACCTGAATTTACAACAGAGAGCTCTGACGTTGCATGACTCTGCACCACAGGCCAACCCGCATATAAAACATATTCTTGTGAGCAGACAGTCGTGTTATACAGACAAGGTGGGTTGGACTGAATGATGCAGATGGTAGTAAAAGGCAGGAGAACACTACATCACACACACAAAAAAAGAATTAGGAAGCGACCAGAAAAATAAAGGTCTCCATCAAAAATGGATTGGAATTGTGTCAAAAAAGAATTCCTGGTTTAAAAACATGTACAAAACCAAGACGGTCACACCCTTCACGATATGACCTCCTGAAACAGCCCCAGTACTGTCTTCAGACTGACCGACGTCAGTAACGTCGACCAAAAGCTCCACCCTGCAGCCCGCTGCCCTGCATCAGCTGGTTCTGTCTGTTGAGAGCTCCAGAAAGGGACTGAGATGTTCCTGTGTTCATGTAACCTCCACGGTTGCTGGAAAAAAAACAACAAAGACACACAATGAACAATACTGATCTAACACACAGTGCTTGGGTTGGAGCTGAAAAAATTAAAATAGATTTTCACTACTCACCCTGCCATTCCTCCACGTGCCATGTGGCTCTGGCCTGGGATGGCACCGTCTCTACCTGGAACATCAAAGCAAAACGTAAGACACAAACCACAGTAGTTATAGTTCTATACTGCCATCAAGCAGGAGACCAAATATAGTTTCAGGACACATTACACCATTTTCTTTCAACCTGGTACTATATTTGTGCCATTTGCCACTCCAGTCTTCAGAAGGCAAAACTACTGTACTCCAAAATGTACATCATGGTGTCAAAAAAGCACAGTGTAACTAGCAGTACAGTCATTACACACGTACACACACACACACACACACACACACACACACTAAAACACATGTAAGCGTACTTTGCCATGTTCTGTCTCCATCAATCTTCCGGCTGGAGTCCCAGTCTCGACTTCCTTCCCTAAAAAGACAAACACAAATCATATTTACAGTTTGCCTGATCACCTTGATCGATTTCTATTTATGTTTTCACAAGGCTATAGCTGAAGCCTCACCTGGGGTTAATGCGTCCACTCCAGGAGTCCCTGCCATCTCTGCTATGCCTATCTGACCTGTCTGAGAAGTGCTGCAATGAGAGACAGAAGACAGTTAAACTTTCTGTTCCTGTACAGTTGATACAAATGTTAGGCTACAAAGATCCATATGTTTTACTGTTCTATAGGCAGTTGTGCACATCTACAAAATGGGAATAGTGTGAGGATTGGTGCACTGGTCTATGTCAGTCACACATGTGGCTTTAATGAAGTGCATGTGATAACTGGACTGTAGTGGTGTTTAGGATTCAGAATAGAGGAGCTGTTGTAGCAGTGATTAAAACCAATAAAGGTTGTGGCTTTGTACCTCAACGAGTGTCCATGTCCTTCTTAAAAGAGTGTAACCCGCACTTCTTACCTGACCATCTCTGTCTGCACCGATGCCACGAGCGTTGTCCCGTCTGTCGACCATCATGTCGTCTTGGAAACGACCCCGATCCCTGTGGTCGAAGTCCTGATAACGCTCCTGTCGAGTAAAGTCTGAACGGCCATAACGGTCATCCATGGCCATGCGCTTATCAGGCCAGTCATCTTTCCTAAAAAAGGGAGCAGAATATTCAGAATATATCATCCAAGCAGCTCTGCATCCAGCCGATATATACAGTACATACAAAAGTACTTAATCGCTGACCAATAAATCCATTTATCAATCATCCTGTTCAGCATCACTATGTCCATTATCTTTACCTGCCATCCATGTCGTAAGGCCTCTTAACAGGGCGTCGCTCCTGTTCATAACGCAACTGCTCCTGCTGCCGTCGCAGCTCCTCGCGCTCCCTGAGGATTCTTTCCTGCTCACGTCGCCTCTCGTACTCTATGCGTAACCTTTCACGCTCCAAAAACTGACGCTCCATACGGTCGGCTTCGAGTCGCTGCTTCTCAGCCTGGGAGTCGAACCGTTCATGGGTTTCAGTAAGATTATCAACACGAAACTAATGAGAAAGTAAGGCTGATGATGAGAAATTTCACAAATTGAAATATGGGAGCAAACTGATTGATGAACAGCTATTTCTATTACATTATTAGCTTAAAACAGTATATGAATCCAAATATAATGCAGGAAATGTGGAAAGTAACACCGAGAACAACTCAGTGAGAGAGATAAATAGAAATAAGTAATGACTTTACCTCCAGCCATTGTCTCTTCCGGACCAAGTGTCTCCTCTCTTCTCTCTCCCGGAACAGACGGATTCGCTCACGCTCACGGTCCGGACGGTTGTCACGATCACGGTCCCGGTCACTGAAAGAAGATGTCATATCTTAATCTCTCAGCACCAAATGAACTGTTTTAGAAGACGTATTGAGTAAATAAAAGTTAATAGCGTCCAGTGTAAAATTATACTTATTTCATAATCCAAAGGAATAAAAGAGCTTTATTAATACTTAAGTTATGTCTTATTAGGTGCTATGGGGGGATTCAGATCATTTGTAGCACCCCTTGCATGATTCCTTACGTGCATCTGCGTCTTTCCACCTCTCTGATCTCCCTCTCTCGTTGTCTCTGCCTTTCCCTCTCTCTCTGCTCCTTTATCTGGTCAAATGACAGGATGTCTTTCTTCTCTTTACTGGATGATTTGCGGTCCCGACTCTTTGTGCTCTGGAGAAGGAGAGAAAATGTCAAAAGAAATCAGTTAGGAAGTGTTTTGTTTTGCCTCCAGAAAACAACAAATGTATGGCCCTCACATTCTTCTCAACCTTTGATATAATAATACTAATATATAATAAATATAATACTTAATGTATCTACAACACAACTCAAAACGTTAATAGGGGTTGTATATGTTGTTATAGGGTGAATGTTTCCTTACTCGTTCCTTGCTTTTGGTTTTGACGCTGATGACAGGTTCTCCTTTGGACTTGTCCATAACTACAGTCCTCTCGTTTCGCCCTGTCAGACAAATTGATATTGTCATAGAAAATGTTTTAGAGAGGTCAACATTGTTTTCAGAATTTGCTTGATACGTAGAAGCTAAAAATGATCCCACGTTTCTCACCTTTGCCATCTTTTCCTTCTCCCTCGGACTTCTCATCCTTTCCATCAGATCTACAGGGAATGTTAACAGTATGAGCTCCATCAGACATATAGCAACAAACATTTTAAACACAGGGTTTCTGCAGGTCTCAACAGGTGAAATTTAAGGTTTTTTAAGAACTTATGAAGACCATAATGATTAGTTTACTGTTCTTCAATATAGCTGATAGTTTATCTACTCTTGAGTGATATAGCTTAGGGGCTCTAACTGCCATGTGTAGGTTTATAGTAAGAGACTTTACTCAAACAGCTTGTAAGCAGTCTTACTTGGAGTCAGTGGAGTGTCTCCTGTCACTGCCAGACTTCTTGGCATCATTCTTGTCTGCTGGCTTCTTCCCTGCAGGCTCATTTTTAGCCTACAAATGTTTAAAAAGGAACATGTTTATTCACAAAAGCCAAATTAACAGATTAAATTTCACACTGATCACACCACACAATGAAAATGACTAATAACTATTTTGTATCAGATTACATGTGATAATTGCTCAAGTTATTTCTTAACAATTGTTACCATGCCTACTATTTTCCACTTCACAGACTTCACAATAGACCATGAGCATGAAATTTACCAATATGTTCTGTAGAAGCTTTGCCAGCTGCTTCATCTGATCTTAGCGTATGTATTGCTTACAACTCATAAAGATTATATTATATTATATTATATTATATTATATTATATTTTATTATATGATGTTGTTTGAACC